ACATCATACTAGGACCTTTCTTGTATCGATTTGCGAAGTGAAGACACAAAGGCAGCTCTTGCGCTCTACGTCTACACGATGGCTTCATCCTCCTCGTCTATTGAGGCAGGCAACGGGGGCAAAGAGCAGCAGCTACGGCCCTCCCGCTTCACTAAAAAGACCGCAGTTTTGGCTCTGGTCGGAGGTACTCTTATCGTGGGAGCCGTGTTTGGGGGTGTCTTCGGCTCCCGGGCTGTGGAGAAAAAAAGACGGGTACCCATCAAGGTGGAAGATGTAACGTATGCAATGGTCACTGAGGGCTTCATGAACGCTGCCGTGGTGCCTGTGCCCCAAAACATCCTGCAAAAAGCCAACACTTCCTCTGCAAGCTCGCCCGCACTCACAACATTGGCAACGGGTGACAAAGCCCCCGCAGGAAATCCCCTTCAAGGTGAAACCTCTATTTTTAGCTTTGACTACTGGTTTGGTGATCAGGGTATCGCAGGCATTCCCATGTTCGACCCCATGCCTTTGGTGCTGCCTCCTGAGGCTACGACCATTCCGTCTTGGGTGTCGGCCGCTCAATTCCGCAATACCGAAGGCCGTGTCTTGTGCTACGCCAGCACGGGGAAGGAAGTGATAGAAATGGTCAGCGGGGACGAGAGTCCGTGCGAAGTCATCGTTTTGACGAACGATCGGTTTACGCCTTACTCAATCGACAAGATCATGAACGTCACCAAGCCCAAGATCATCATCGGTCGGCCTATCTATGCACCTATGCTAAACTGCACCAACCAGATTCCGCGCTTGTTCGAAGGTAGGTAGCTGAACATGCGAGAGATGCTGCTATCATTGCATTGTATCAATCATAGCGATACCATGCTCACTTTTTCTTGTGTATGATTAATCAAAATCTGTACCCTCATAGTCTATCCGGGAGGCCAGCTGGAGACGCGAAGCGTCATTTTAGTTCGTGGCTTTGGCCGTAACGTCGGTCTCAATGGGAACGAGATCAATCTTACCATCGGTACTATCATTCGCGTGCAAGTTGGCGGGCAATTCATGGCGACCGGGTAAGATGGGGGTTTGTAAAAGTGTAGGAATCAATCGGAATTAAGATTGACTGCTGCTTGTATCTTCCCACGCGCTCATTACTTTCTCCGTCCGTGCATACGCACATAGCTGCATGTTCCGTGAGCGAAACAACACGTTTCCCAATTTTCTCGACGAGGTACGCCGCAAGCTTGAGACGCCCACAGCCCGCAATCGACAGTTTGGCCAGATGACGCTAGTACTGGGTGGAAACCTCGTTTTGCTCGGATGTAAGTGTGGGGGGGCATGTACGATGCATGGCAGGCAGTGAGACAGCGCTCGCTTGAAGAGTCTTCCTGTATGACGTACCTTGATCACTGTCTTAATGCCTTTATCTCGTCTTGCAGGCCGATCACTCCGCTTCCGTCCCTTTGGGAACGGAGTCTTGAATACGATGGTCATTGGGCGTGATATCAACGTGGTGGCGGGCACGGCCACACTTATCGGACATTGCTCAGGATCATCGAGCTTGTGGAGTACCAACTACTTTATGACAGGCGCTCTTGCTACGGTGATGGGCGGGGTCTTGACCTTTATCGGTGGGAACAACATCGGTGCCAACTTGCTGCAGGTGCAAGGCGGGACCATGGTGAACTTCGGTACTTGTAAGTGTACATGCTGTCTGCGGTGGTAGACGGAAGAGAGTCTCCGGGTACGAGGCTGCAATGGGCTCGCTATAACTCATTCCTCCCTACACTACACCACATAGTTGCGGGCGTCCTGGTCACTGTTGGCTACGGGTATACGACGGTTAAAGGTCTGCTTTTCCGGTCGATCGCGGGGCAGTTCGGAACCAGTAAGTAAAAGGGAGGCTCTATTTATATTCGTCATTTATTCCGACCGACTATCGCTGACTATCGCTCTCGCATGCATCGACAGTCGCTGGTGTCTCCGTTCAGATCGCTTTTGTACGAGGTAGTGCGGATGGTGTAAGATTTGTGGCAGGTGCGGGGCACACCCATGCGACATTCACGGGGGTGAATAACAGACAAACTGGAGTTGAGACCGGCTACATGATATCAGGATGTCTCTTCGGCGTTGGGGGCTCAAACTATGTGGGTGCAGGCTCATCATTTTTCCAAGCTATCCCGAAGGCTTCTTCGGCCGTCACAGACTCCAAGAGTGGTGTTGGTCTGACCAGCTACTACGGAGCGGGCAGCTCTACTAACTCTTATGTACCGGGCTTTAGTGCGATTCTGGCCCGCTTCAATACAGGCATTGGGACTGATTTCTTCATGGGTGCTGGGTGGTGAGTGTCTTACACTTTGATTGACATTTTGCGTCGCTTTCGTAAAACCATGCGTGATCGCGCCACGAGAGTACGATTCTCAACGGTCTCCGTGGAAAGTAGGCGATGGTTTGGCTTTGAAGATAACATCGACGATTGACATTCGGATATTCATTTGTCGACAGGCACAACAACATCAACTGCACCCGCTTTAGCTACCAGCTGGCCAACTCATTCATTGGTCTCGGCAATCAAGGTTATGTGGGCTTTGGAGGCGCAGCATTCATCCGCAGCTATTCTGCATCGGCTCGTGTGTACCAGTACAAATATCCCACGATCTACACCTTCACGGTTGCAGGCACTGGTGTAGGATCGTCCGGAACAAAAGGCCAGAACTTGGTGCTGACCAAGGGTGGTATTACGCGCTATATCCACAACAAGACAACAAACACGGTCACTAAAATCTCCACACCTCACGTACAAAAAACGCTTGCGCCGACCAGGGCCCCTGGAGGTCGAAGGCGAAGGACGGTTGCTCGGAAGCGAGCTGTTCAAACCGAGGGTAAGACGTAGGCTCAGTGACAGACGTTTTTTCAGTTAGACTAATCACGTCTCATCTGTTGCATTATTTACACGTTGTTCACACAGATCTCAAAAACATCCCGCCTACCATGGGTAAGTGCCTCCGTGGATAGCTCCATCTGTGTAACCAATTTTACTTGACCGCATACTCATTAACCACCCCTTCCAATATCTCACACAGGGTCCTGGCTCAAAAACATCGTCGACGCTACCGGTGGCTTGGACCCTGGCTTGCAAAACAAAATAGTAATGCTCCAGACCACAATCTTGGAGAGGAAGGTGAAATTGCCTCCGCATCCGAAGCACTTCAGGGATCGAAGGTTGAAGGAGCGATCCGGGGGCTACGCCAAGATCCTGGCGGATGGACTGGTTGACTTTGAAGGGTCCGAGGCAGTCGAAACGCCTGGTTTGATCTCAGCGAACAACTCGGACTGCTTCCTGTGCAACGTGGGCCCAGGCAACACTGCCGACCACATCGGTGGACCGGGAGCGTGCGAGGTCAAGGACGTCTGTGGAGACTCCAATAACCCCGCAGAGATCTACGCTCGCGCTCAAGAGTCGACGACGACCAATATTCTTCCCCCTGCCCTGGACAAGTCCTTAGGCAACGTGGACGAGGACGGGAACCCGATTTTATCCGACACGTGGATCTTGTGGCACGAGATGGTCGTGTACTGCCATTCCACGGACCCAGAGACAGAAGACAGCAGCATCACGCGCGGGTGCTTGACTGAGCAGTACATCAAGGACGTGATCAGGGGCTACATCCTGCTGGACAACGTGAAGAACGAGTACCAAATGGCGGTGAGCGAAAGTGGCGTCCATGCCTCGGCAGACGCTTTCCCTGACCCGACACTAGATGACCTTAAGGTGGCTGTCAGTCCAGAGTGGAATCCGGAGTGCCAAGGATGGACTAAGTACGACATTCGCATGGTGGCGAACGACCCAGAGGTCGAGCAGCACATTTTGGACATCTTCGAGGGCTTCGTGGAGGACCCTTCCGACTTGGAAACGACCATCATCGAGAATGCGGACCCATCCGCCGAGTTGCAGCCCTGTGCAATCAGAATCACGGAGAAGGGGGAGCAGAGGTATCCTTCGATCAACTCCATGCCTGCTTTCAAGCCGTCTCGGAGGCTGATGATAGGACCTGACGTGGTGATCGCCGATGGGGTGTCGATCGAGCCTGTGAAGTTCCTGTATCCCGGCGAGACCTACGTGGTGTATTTGCAGAACTTTCCCAAGGGCGCCACCATCGAGGTGATGCTCATGGATGGCCTGGTTCAGACAGGGCCCGTGGTAGCCACGCTCGATTCGTTTGCAGGGGATGGTATTGCAGAGGTCAGCTGGACGGTCCCACGGGACATAATTGTAAACGGTAAGATACAGGAGCTGTGGCGTATGTTTTCTCTTTTTGTCGTGTGCCAGCGTGATGAGATTGTTGAGGGAATGCGGCACTTTTCGTTATTCATTCGTTGATTGTTGATTATTTGTATGTTGCCATTGATTTCCACTCTTTCTAATGTACGGCATACATACAGATGGCAAGTACTACTTGAAAGCCCAGATCAAGAATCTCGCTGCTTTCTTCACGTATTCTCAGGTGTTTTATTTCGATGATGGGTACAGCAATTGAGG